GACCACGTGGCCGCCCACCTACCAGATGGTCAGACTTCTTCGTCAAGATCATGAACGATCGGTTTGAGGCTCTTCATGTTCCCAGAGCGAACAGATGCCATTGGGCTACACTAGCATGCGACAGGGACAAATGGAGACGTTACTGGCGCCTGCTCGAGCAAATCGACGACTAACGGGAAGTTCAGTGATTATTAAGTGATTCACACACGGTATGAAGCCAGTACCCCCTCTTGTCCCTTCGGGGTGGCCCAGAGCCCACACCGGGTCTGGCCAGAGCCAGGGCTGAGTAGGGCTTGAATTGACCTGAATTCTTGGTGCTGTGGGCCAAGAAACCAGCCTTGATCCTTCCAGGCTGGGCCACACGTCGCAGCTGGGTGCTTCTACCAAGTGGCGTCCTGCGAGGTCCGAGTGCCTGAGTGACAGAAGCCCCGGTGTGACGACAGGCCTCCAGCCCCTCCTTTTCCAGAACGAAAGCCAACATCTAACACAAGGCAGGCACAAGTCCAGGCCCACAATCAGTGGCGGTGAATCAGCCTCCGACGGCCTTGGCTCTGCTCCACGCCCGCACTGTCCAGGCTCCGGTTTCCTCGTCCGCAGAATGGGACTGGCCCCGGCCTTCTCTGTCAGCTCAGCCGTGGTCCCGGTCTGGCCCTAGGAACTGCCAGGCCCCAGCCTCACACGGAGGGTGTCGGCGACCAGAGCGGGTGGTGGGGTGAGCTCATTCAGGGGGCCATTTCTCCTTCTGTGGAATCTTCTTGGAGCAAAACATTCCCGAAAAGTGGGGTGATTCATTCACTGCACCATTTGCCAGTTCCCGAGAAAAGGCAGGCCATGAGACACAGTTTAGACTTTTTGAGAAAAGAGGAAGAAGTCTCAAGATGGAACTTTTCTTCAGCGGAAGGAGGCCTCCAGAATATGGGTCTCTTTCCTCCCTGAGAATCAAGTCTTGGGGGGGGGAAACAATCAGGTTTGAGCCAGATTCCCTGTCGAGGAGAAGCAGATGGCCACAACGCACACTGGGGACAATGGTACTTTATGAACTCCTTCATGGACCGAGACTGATAACGGTCACTCTAAACAGTGGGCGACAGGGTGACGGTTAAGACAATCCATGAACTGTTCTCCTCGCCCCTGATCCATGCTGGAACTCCATCAGAGGCTCGTGTTTTTTCCCTCTTAGATTAGTCTGTGGAATGGGTTGGAGAGCGGGACAACTTGCCAGCCAAGAAGACGAGGAGGGAGGGAAAAGACGAGCTGGGGGTGGGAGCCCTGGGATGCACAGCTTCATTGGAGGAGAGTGAAGACTGGGCCCCACAACTCCCAGCCAGCCAGCCTGGAGCAGCCTGTGTGGTCCAAAGGCACTCCAAGGGGCGGCACAGCCTGTTGTTGCCATGGGATGACTGCGTCCCACGTCAGTGTGGCCTGCAACAGGGATCTCATCCTGCTAAACTCACTGCTCAGGAGAGCCAGCATGGTACAGAAACGGGGCATCTGTCAGTTCCATAGGGCTGGAGGGGACTCGGGACCTGGGACTCAGTCTCCCCTCTGCAGACTTGTAGGGAGGTGAAAGGGTCAAGGGGGAGGAGGGAGCCCCAGACGCGTGGGCTTTGGAGTCACACCATACTGAGCCTCACCTATAGGGTCTACAGAGCAGAGACCCAAACATCAACCATCTGCTGCATGTTAAGTGACCTGATGGATCTGAAGCACAGTTTGGCGCCGAGCGATTTCCAGGTGGGCGACATTTACACCACCGTGATGCTGTTTCCTTTTATTTATTTATTTATAGCTTTTTGGGTCACACTCAGGGGTTACTCCCGGCTCTGCCCTCAGGAATTACTCCTGGCAGTGCTCGGAGGACCATATGGGATACTGGGGATCAAACCCAGGTCGGCCGTCTGCAAGGCGAACGCCCTCTCCACTGTGCTATCGCTCTGGCCCCATGATGTCTTCCATTTTGATGACTTTCTATGAACGCACAGAACATTCCCACCAGCCCAGAGAGCTCTCCTGCCTCTACCTAGCTCACCCTCCTCTCAAGCGACCAGATGTGATTTCTTTGGGCACAGCTTAGGTTTGTCTATTTCACAATCCTGTATGAATGGAATATATCAGGTTTGTGTGTGCAAAGTGCTTCCTTAATCCTAAGACTCATTTGTATTCCTTCCTTTCTTTCTTTCTTTCTTTCTTTCTTTCTTTCTTTCTTTTTTTATGGTGTTGGGGTCACACCTGCCAGGGCTCAGAGCTTACTCCTGGCCCTGTGCTCAGAGATCCTTACTAAAGCAGTTCAGGGGGTCCTCTGTGTTACCGGGTAGTGAATCCAGGTCAGCTACATCCAAGGAAAACAGCTTCTTCTCCGGGTCTTCATTTATATTTTGCTATGCATTAGTAGATCATTTCTTTATGGTGTGTAGCTTTTTACTCTATTTACTCTATGAATGACACTATGTTTTATTCATGCTACAGTTGATGAGCATCTGGGCCATTTCCAGAGTGGTTTTTTTTTCCTCTTACAAATAAAACGCTGTGAACATTCAAGATAGTACAAGACATTCCTGGCCAAATAGTTCCAAGTCCTTAGGGGACTCACCTAGGCGTGGGTTCCTGGGTTAGAGGGTCACTGTCCAGGGAAACTTTCCATCTTTGCTCCTTTCTTCCCTCCTTTGTGGTGTTGACTACTGTGGCAGTGTCCAGAGTCACACACTCGGCTGCGGGACGCACCAGCAGTCACACAGTTTGGTGCCATGTGTGGGACAGTGCACACTAGGGCACTGGGGGTCACTGTGGCAATGCCACCAGGATTGCACGTGGCCCAGGCAGAGAGATGGGACTGAACTCATGGTCTCACTTTCAGAGTTGGTGCTCGGCGGCCAGAGAGATAGCACAGAGGGGGAGGGTGCTTGCTTGCACGTCGCCAGCCTGGGTTCGATCCCTGGCACCCCATATGTTCTCCTAGGACAGCCAGGAGTGATCCCCGAGCATAGAACCGGGAGTAACCACTGAGCACTACCAGGTGTGGTCCCAAAGCAAAACTGTTGATGCTCTGTCACAGAGCCACATTCCTGGGGCCATGTTAACCTTTTATTTATTGAAATTTTTAAAAAAATTTATAAAGTAGATCACAGTATTTCATTACATTTAATATTCAAACACCAATCCCACCTCCATTACACCTTCCCACCACCATATTTCGGATGTTTCCATCCCGAGTCCTAATCCCTGTCCCAAAGCAGAATTGAAATAACGTATTTTGTATTGTTTGTTATGAAAAACTGCTGAAAGTGCTACAAAAACGTCCTTAGAGGAAAGAGTGTGGAGGTTGTTGTATTTTACCCAGGGGCCATTAAGTCCTTCTATAAGAGAACACTAACATGTTGTTAAAGGTTGAGCCTTGTGTGCGTTATATCTATATATAGACATAAATATATATCTATATATATCTGTAAAAAATGTACATTTCCCTCTAAGATTGGTTGCCTCCTACTTTGAACCCTATAAAATGTGGTGTGGCAATATTGGAGTATAGGTAGGGTGTGTGGTTTGAAGTATTGTGTGGTCCAGGAATATATTCACTTGTGGGTGATGCTTGGCTCGAGCATGTGGAGAGCAGCCATTGGCATGGCAGCAGCTGGGTTCTGGAGGTTTTCGGCTGCCAGAACTGGGTCACTTGGGGTGGCACCTGCCCCCCTCCGGGGCGCCCTGAGTGAAACAGCCTGGCTCAGGGTCCGGTGGTATGGTTATGGCAAGCGTCATGTTATGCTCCCTTCTGGGAGAGGACATGCAATCTGGATGGTGGCTGGTGACTGGATTATCTGGCACCAGCCAGAGGTGGCTTATGGGCATGACTGCTGAGTCGCTGGAGGCAGGGGCACAGGAGGGCGAAGGATCTCCATTCCCCATCCCATTGAACCTGGTGTTCTCAGTCACAAAGTCCCGCATCATGTTAACCTTCTCAACGAAACTCCTAAAGTGGTTGCATAGTGTCTTGCAGGATCCAGTCTCAACTCCTGCTGCCCAAACTTTGGTGGAGTCCATCTTTTCCATTGTAGTTATGCTGGTGGGCACCTAGTGGCAACTTACTATATTTCTTTTTAAAAAATTGAAACACCATGAGATACAGAGTTACAAAACTGATCATGGTCGGCTTCAGTTATACAGTGTTCCAACACCTGTCCCTCCACCAGTGTATGTTTCCCATCACTAATGTCCCCAGTTTTCCTCCTGCCTGCCACTCTTTCCCCAGTCCGTCTCTATGGCAGGCACTTTCCTTCTCTGTCTCTGATTCCTCCTTCCTCCCCGCCAGGGGGGCATTATCATTTGCAATACAGGTACTGAGAGGTCATCATGTGTGTTCCTTTACCTATTTTCAGCACTCAGTTCGTACCGAGCGATCATTCCCAACTATCTCTGTCATCTGAGCACCAGCCTCTGAGTTTCCACAGACAAAGCCCACTCGGACTTCTGGGTGCCTGAGATGCTCAGGAAACATCTCTGCACGGTTCTTGGCAGGGCCCCTTGCCCGCAGGTGCCTGGCCCAGCCTGGGCCTCTGCAAGGTGGGCGCTCAGTCCCGAGACTTTGCCCAGGACATAAAGGGGCACACACACTCTCCCCCTTTACGTCCCTCCGGCCGCTGTGCTAGTTGGGAGAGTGGCAAAAGCCAAGCGAGCCGGGCGGACCCCATCCCCGCTATAGGCTTTCCTGGGTGGCTGATTGGAGGTGCGTGATTGGGTCTTGGGTAGGGTGTGCCACGTGAGGACTGGTGGGTTTTTCTCAGGCCACTCTGAGGTCTTATGGCCGGTTCCTCAGTGGAGGGGAGCCTGGGAAGGAGGAGGGCCCAGCCCCCATGGACAGCAAGTGTCCAGTGGGAAAAAGCTGCACCCCGCGGCCAGCTGCGTCTGCCAGACAGGAGCCCCAGGATGGCTGATGGTGTGCAGGGTCACCCCCAGCCCCTGGCAGGGAACCCAGCACCCCCCCCCCGCCAGCACATCAGGAGACAGTGTGAGAGGTCAGCACGAGGCCACTTTATTGACCTTCACTCCTTGACAAGTCTCGGCAGTCAGGGGGTGAGAACACTGGGAGTGACAGACAGGCCAAAAGGCACAGCCAGAACAGGTGCCGGCAGGTGGAGAGGATGGCATAAGACTGATCGGTTCTCCCATCTCAGACACTCTCGGATCCGGATCCGGGGCAGAGGAAGCCTGCGCTCACCCAGCTGAGCGCCTCCCACCAGCCTCTAGACCAGGCTGTGGTGCGCAGGGGACCCCGAACATGGCTGTGGCCCAGATGTCCTGGGCCCTGCAAATAGGCATGGTGCTGCCAGCCCCCGTGGGCAGTCGAAGAAGAGAGTGGGCGTGCCCGACAGCAGGGGACAAGGACTCGGGCCTGAGGTGGGTGACGAGGGCTGGGCATGATGAGTAAGAGAGAAAGTGTTGCTCTGGAGGCCCTGAGACAGCCTCTGCTCACAGGGTCTGCGACCCCCCACTCTCCCTGAGTCCCCCGCTCTGAGGGATCACGGAAGCCAAAGAAGAAGTGATGGTCCAGCCAGCTGGGGACCGTCCTTGCCGTGTCGCTCTGTGGGTGGGCGACGTCTGGGCCGCCAGATCTGGGATGCAGAGAGAGAAAAGGGTGCGGGGTCCAGGGGGGTCACCATGCAGGCCCCCCTTTATCGCTTCTTCTTCGTCTCCTTCTTAGGCCTCTTGCTGGCAGCGGGAGCTGCAGCCCTGGGTTTCCTCGGCACCTCGGCGCTCCGGGGTGCTGCTGGCTCCCCGTCCTGTGTGACGAGAGGAAAGAGAGGTCAGCTCCGGGGATCAGGCCTGGGCCACCGACACCTGCAGCGCTGAGGGCCTGTCCCAGGGAGGGACAACGGGGACCCCGAGGAGGGGAGGCTCAGGGGGCCAGTGGAACCTGGTCCTCCTCAGCCCAACCCAGGGACTCAGGGGTAACTTGCTTCCTCTTTCTGGGCCTTGGCTTATCTGGCTGTGAAATGGGAGACTCAATGCCCACCTTGGAGAGCAGGCATGGGAGGCAAGGAAAGCCGAGTTGGGGCTGGAGCCATAGCACAGCGGGCAGGGCGCCTGCCTTGCAGGGTCTGACCTGGGTTCTCATATGGGCCCCTGAGCCCCACCAGAAGTAAACCCTGAGCACAGAGCTAGGAGTAAGCCCGGAGTCCTGATGGATATGGGTGGTGTGCAAGCGGCCTAGGACAACCCACCTCACCTCCAGAGGCCCCCACACCTGGGCCAATGCTATTCTGGGCACCCAAAGGTAGGACAGGGAGCTGGTAGGCAGACATTTTACTGAGCTGGTGGGCCTGACAGAGGTGGCCCAACCACAGGGTCGAGTCCCAGCATTTTTCTGTGAAGGGACAGCTCTACTGCCTACAGTGGGATCTATTCTCTGTAAGATCTGCTTTAAATTTTGCTGTAATTGCTTATTTTTGAGGGGAAGGGGATTTGGGGCCACACCTGGCGGTACTTAGGCATCCCTCCTGGTGGGGATAAAACCCAGGTTGGCTGCATGCATAGCAAGTGCCCTAGTTGATGGACGATTGCTCTGGCCCCAATAAATATGGTTGTTTTTTTTTTTCTTTTTGGGTCACACCCAGTGATGCTCAGGGGTTACTCAAGGCTCTGCACTCAGGAATTACTCCTGGCAGTGCTCAGGGGACCACATGGGATGCTGGGGATCGAACCCAGATCTGCTGCGTGCAAGGCAAACGCCCTACCCACTGTACTATCGCTCCAACCCCATAAATATGGTTTTTATTTTTATTTATTTATTTGCTCTTTGGGTCACACCCGGCAATGCTCAGGGGTTGGCCTGGCTCTGCACTCAGGAATCACTCCTGGCAACGCTCAGGGGACCATATGGGATGCTGGGATTCGAACCCGGGTCAGCCGCACGCAAGGCAAATGCCCTACCTGCTGTGCTATCGCTCCAGCCCTAAATATGGTTTTTAAAACCAATTTCCAAAGACCCAGCCTGAATTTCACTGGGCTGACAAGCAAGTGGATGTTGGGGACAGGCTTGGCTTGCTCCAGCCACCAGGCTCCTGTGAGAGAAGAAACTGGAGGGCCCCTTCATGGACCGCGTCCCCTTTGTAGGGGGTGAGTGAGCGTGTGGTGACCAGACAGGGGTCAGCCAGCCCCAATCTGGCCTAGGAAGTGGTCACCGGCCTTGCTCCCCTGCAATGGTTCAACATGCCGAGTGCAACTTTGCTCAGTAGCCCCGAGTACTGACACTGGACCCCAAAATCCAAAACAGTAAGAGAGAGAGAGAGAGAGAGAGAGAGAGAGAGAGAGAGAGAGAGAGAGAGAGAGAGAATCTGAGCCAATTTCGAGATTTCTCACTCAGCCTGGATTCCTAGATTTTCTTGCAAGCTTGCAACCTTGGGTGGCACAGGCCGAAGTGCCCTTGTGAAAGATCAGTCCGCACCATGGGTGCCATGGCGCCCAGGCAGTGCCCACCCACCACCAGCCCGCATTGGGGGAGGAGACACCCCTCCACATCCACCGAGCTCCTTCGGCTGAATGGGGGGAACAAAAGCCGGAGAAGATTTGGGGAGGGAGGGCGCGCCCTCCTTGCTCCTGACGCTGAGGGGCTGTCACCCCCCTCCCAGCTCACTCTTTCCTGTCCCCTTGGGGTTGGGGACTGAACAGTGGGTCTATGGGGGGGATCTGTCCGAGTCCTCGGATCGCTGTGTTCCCGTCAGCCTGTGGCCACCACTACCACCTGCCAGGGAAACAGGTCCTCAGACCCTGCCTCAGCCTGCTCCCTCTGCCGGCACTACTGCAACTTGGCTGGGGAAATTGAGTCAGCCCACAGACATACCAGAGGGAACTTCAGAGGTGCTGCTGTGCCAGGTGTGTGGAGACCTGGGAGCTGGCCACTGTCCCCTGCGGTCCCTGTGAGGCCAGTGGGAGCCCAGAACTCTCTGGCAGGCAGGCCAGGTTAGGCTGGCAGGCCTGCAGGTGCCTGTGTGGAAGCCGAGGCCCGGGAGAGGGTGGCAGCTGGCAGCTCCCTGGCCCAGACCCTCAGGCCTCTGCTCCTCCCCAGCGCCTCCCCAGCCCCAGCTGAGCCCCGGGTTCCCACTCTGTTCTGCTGTCCCCTCCTGTGATGGTTGCCTAGTGCTGATGGTTCGCCTTCTCGTTCTCTGGCATCAGGGTCCTGCGCCGGATCCCTGCTGCCTCTGGACCCACCCTCCACGGCATTGCTCCAGCTGGGGGCTCCCCACCACCTGCACTGGGGCAGGGTGCACCTGTATTTCCTGAGCCACCCAGGGCGTTCATCCCCCAGGTCTGGTCCCACCCCAAATACCTTCTTTATCCGCCCCTATGCTCCCAGCAGGACATACGCCCCCTTCACCTCCCTGCCAGGAACCTGATGATGCCACCGGGACCTTCCCATCACTTTCTCCGAGTTTTTGGCTGATCGCCCCTATTAACCTGGTCTCTCTCTGGGACAAAGCTTCAGTCACTGCTGAATGAACGGATGAGACGAAATACCAGCCAGAGAGCTGTAACCATGGAAGCAGCCCTTTTTTTTTTTAATTTTATTTTTTGCTTGTTTCTGGGTCACATCCCACCTTGCTCAGAGACAACTTCTTGCGGTGTTCAGGGGTGAGGCCTGGCAGTGCTCAGGAGGCTACCAGTGGCATCTCTCTGGCCTCAAAGCTTCACTTCTTATTTATAACCCTGCATGTACTTGTAAAGGGCTGGAGCGATAGCACAGCGGTAGGGCGTTTGCCTTGCATGCAACCTGCCCGGCCGACCTGGGTTCGATTCCTCCGCCCGTGTCAGAGAGCCTGGCAAGCTACCGAGAGTATTTTGCCCTCACGGCAAAGTCTGGCAAGCTCCCCGTGATGTATTCGATATGCCAAACACAGTAACAACAAGTCTCACAATAGAGATGTTACTAGGCACGCTCGAGCAAATCGATGAACAATGGGAGGACAGTGCTACAGTGCTTCATGTTAAGACCAGGCCTTACTTGCTCCATAGACACAGACAATACAAACAGAATTTTTATTTTTTGTTTTGGTTTTGGGGCCATACCTAGAGATGCTTGGGGCTTACTCCTGGCTCTGTGTGCAGGGATTACTCCTGGCAGTGCAGACGGGGTGTCAGGGATTGAACCTGGGCTAGCTGCATAGAAGGCAGGCACCCCGTCCAAAATAAAGCAGATTTTATACCCAATATGTGCTGAGAAGATGAGACAATGCCTTGCACGTGTGAGGCCTGGGTTCGATCCCTGACCCCCCCAACCCCCCAAACACACAAAAGAAAGCAGCCCCTAGAGTATGGCTGATCATAGCGAACCCTGACATCACACACACACACACACACACACACACACACACACACACCCCACCCCTGAAAGCAGCCCCTCGACCAACAGTAGCAGCAGCAGCTTCAAAAACTGCTACTACTTAGCATTCACAGCAGTTACATGTCCAGGGCCCATTTCCTCCCAAATGGTGCTGTGCTGAGTCCCTGCATGGAATAAGGGTAGCAAGAGCTGCAGAGCATGATGGGAAGCCAAGCTGTTAGCAGTCAGAGACACCCCCCACCTCTCCCAGGCCTCGGGGGACTTTGGACTGAACCAACTGCAGAGTCGACTTTCTCCATCAACCAGTTGCCTGGCCTGGGGGCAATGGCCCATCAGAACAATCTACTCTGGGTCTGCTCTGGGTTCTGTGGAGGCGCTGCGGGGCTGGAAGTGGGGGCCGATGCATCCCGGGTGGCTGCCTGCCTGTGCTGGTGACAGCAGCTCTCAGGGGGCGGGCGGACACATCCCTGCCACCGAGTCACCGCAGGTATTATCTGTCGCCTCCTCTCCTCCACTCAGCTCCCTGCACCGGCACCCACCTGGTTACCCAAGCTAGAAACCCCCGCGGCACTTCGCAGGCCCACAGTTCCTGTCTGCCCCCACGGCCCAGCTGTCCCGGGGGCCTTTCCGAGGCACTCGCGCCCTGTGGCCCCATCCCTGCTCCACGCTCGCTCCCTTGTTCTCTGACCACAGCCGTGCCGGCCCCTGCAGTTTTCTGCTTTCACAGGGCAGCTGGTTCTCTCCTCTGACCGGACAAGCTCGATGTGGTTCCCGCCTCGGCCCTGGCCCTGGCATGCCCCGCTGGGCAGCTGCCTTCTCATGATGCAGGGGCACCTCTGCCTCTGTGCCCTTGCCCACACCACACTCCTGGCCTCTGGGTGCGCCCAGTGTGGCAGAGTCTCTGCTGGGTGCACAGGGTGACGAAGAAGAAAATGCACTGAGCAAAATCCGCATGGCACCCGCCAGGCAACCCCCACCGGCCGACTGGACACTGTGGCCGCATCCTGCCTGCAAGGAAGCCAGGCCCTGGGAGATGCAGTGGTTGGTCTGAGGGGCATGGCCACCCTCCCCCACAGAGCTGCTGGGCAGCGTAGGTGACTGCTACTGTGCGTGAACCCCGATCCTGCCACAGGCAGTGAGCCCCTGACCCTCCTCCCGTGGAGCTGGCGGGCCCCATATTCCCTCCTGGGCCAGGGCGGGAGTGAAGGCAGCCCCCCACCTGGTGCTTCCCAGGCCCGCAGGGGCCTCATCAATAATGAAGGGGGTCTCAGTGCTGCTCCCGCGGCCAGAAAATTGCTGCTATTCATCAGATTCAAATAATCGAATCTGGGCCATGGCACAGCCAACCCCTTCCAGTGGGGACGCACCAGGAATTTTATGATTTCACTCCCCGTTTCAGGGCAGACTCGGTCCCATAAATCAGCAGCACACGGGGGATATGCC